ATATACCAAACCGAAGAAATAAAAGAACTCTACAATGAAACCTTCAAGATATGAACACAGGAAATCATAGAAGACAATGTTAGATGAGGAAAATACAACCCAAGCTCTGGACTGACAGAGTTAATATTGGGAAAATGGGCATACTACCCAAATTACTCTATAGATATATCTTCACTGCTTACAAAACTGTGATGCATTCCATAGCTTAAAAAAGAAGAAAAGCATTTGTACACAATGACAAAAGACCATGAACAGCCAACAATCCTAAGGGTTAACGTCACTGCTGGAGGCTGGGCAGTGGTGGATCATTCCTTTAATCCCAGGGTTTGTGTGGCAGAGGCAACATCATGTCTGTGAGTTCCAGGCCAGCCTTACCTACAAAGCCAGTAGTAGTGTAACACAGAGAAACCCTGTCTTGGTAAACAAATCAAATCAAATCAAATCAAAACAAAACAAAGCAAAGACCACTGCTGGAGGGTTACACTCCCAACCACAAATTATCCTGCAGATCCAGAGTGTCAGAGACAGCCTGGACCTGACATAAAATATACAGGGAAATCAAAGGCATAGAATAGATATCCTGGATATAAAATGACAAAACTATGCTTATTTGATTTTCAACAAAGAATGCAAAACACATATTGGAATAAGAGCCCATTCTACACATGATGCTACAAGAATGTTTTACTGGCTAAGAAAATGAATTTAGATTCTCACCTCCCACCTTGTACAAAAGTAAACTTGAACTAGAACAAAGACTTTATTAAATTCAAGACTTGAATCACCCAGAGTCCAAGAAGACAACCTACAGGAAACCCTTCCAGATACTGGGGAGACAAGGACCTCAGAATAGGACAATAGCACAGGAGCTAACTAGACCATGCATCAGCATGAAGATACAGTGTCTTCACAGCACAGGACACACTCAGCAGAGGGGACAGGAGCCTGTACCAGCTGGATTGTACAGAGAATCTGTACAATCTGCAAATTTCTCAGTTTACAGAGAACTGTAGAAACTAAACACCAAAGAACTAACTTTGTCAATCATCCCATGGTGGAGACAACAGTTATCTTAATAAAAGGAAAAGCACAAATATCCACTAATATTTTTACTGTGTTCACTATCTCTAGCCTTCATGAAAATGCAGACTAAACTACTTTGAAAGCTGAGAGGTGAGCAGCACTTGGTGCTCTGGCAGAGGACCTGGTTAGATGCATTGTATGTGACTCCAGGTCCAGGGAATCGCACACGCTCTCTGACCCCAGACACCAGGTACACACAGGGTGCACATGCATTCGGGCAGACAGAACACTCACCCCTATAAAAGAACGAAATAAAAACAAAAGTTAAAACTGCTTTGTGATAGCACCTCACCCCAGTCAGAATGGCTGTCACCAGAAATCTGACAGCAAATGCTAGAGAGGACATGGAGAGAGAGGAGCCATTACTCACTACTCTGTGTGTGTGTGTGTGTGAGTGTGTGTGTGTGTGTGCACGTGTGTGCAAATTAGTACAGTCATTTGGGATCATTTTCCACAGCTTTCAAAAAATTAATCATAGAACTCCCATATGGTTCAGCTATTTTATGCCTGGCCAGAGTCCACACCCTACTGGTGAGATATTTATACCCCATGATCATGGTTGGTTTAATCACTAATACTTGGATTTAATCCATTAAGAAATGAATAGATAATGCAAATTTCCTACTTATATAAAATGGAATACTATTCGGCTCTAAACACACAAAATACACAGGAAAATGGTTGAACTCGCATGTACTATATTAAGTGACATCACAGTCTCAGAAAGAAAAACTACACTGTCTTTCCTCAAAGGTAGTCAACAATATATGCACACATGTAAATAAGTGTACATATGTGTGTATAGTATAACATGACCAAAGGAAAACAAGAAAGGGTAAATATTGGGGATGAGGAAGGACTGACCACCGGTACTGAGTTTTAAAACAGTTTATAAAGCTAATCATTTTCTAGTTATTTATCTGTCATGGGTTTTCTTTCTTCATTTTTTTTTTTTGGCGTGTTGGTGCTGGATACCTGCATGAATAATATTTGATAAGGAATGTGTAAAATTCCATGTCACAATGGCTACAACTACACACACACACACACACATTTACTAAGAAGTATAGCCTTTGTTCTGGTTAATTTTAGAGTGTGATTTATTCTGTAATAATGTTAAAAACTTAAAAATAAGTAGAGAAAGGGGGATTACCCCCAGTTGAGGGGTCTCTTCTTCCTCAGGATTCAGCCCACCCGAGGTCAGAGGAAGGATTTGCCTGCTGCCCCTGTACCTGTGTGCAGCAGCTGCTCCTTCCCGGTCTCCAGGTGTCTGAGGAGCAACTCCATGCAGGTGCTCTCCGGGTAAGCCCTGTGTCTCTCTGCAGTACCATCCTGCTCCCATTTGAGCCAGGTGATCTGTGCCACTGTGTCTGCTGCTGACCAAGTCCTCAGGTCGTCGTTCAGGGCGATGTAATCGTTGCCATCATAGGCGAAATGTTCATAACCACGCTGGAGGCGTCCGTCCGACCCCACGTGACAGCCAGACAGATGCTGGAAGGTGTGAGAGCCTGGGGGGGGGGATTCTCGGTCAGCACTGACAGCCCGCCCCTCCCGGGGACACCTCAGCACATTGCCGAGGTCCCACCCACAATGACATGCTCGCCCACTTGTCCAGCTGATAGTCCCCGCACACCCTTAGACTCCTGTAAACTGAAAGGGAAAGTGAGTCTCTGTCCATGTCTCTCCGGTCCAGAGTCTCTACAGGTCCCATATTTCCCGGAAGAAACTCGGACTCGGGACACGGGACGACTCTGGTCCTTACTAAGGGACTTGAAGGTCGTGACCTCTGACCCAGGGTCACTCACCGCCCTCACTCTGGTTGTGGTAACCTAGCAGGGTCCTCAGGTTCCCTCGGTAAATCTGCTCATTGTCCCTGGCGATCCGTGTCTGCCTCTCCCAATAATCCGGCCCCTCCCGCTCCATCCAAGGCGCCACAGTCTCATATCTCGGATTCTCTGCATCGCTGTCGAAGCGCACGAACTGTGTGTCGTCCACGTAGCGGACAACAATGAACCGGGGCTCCCCGAGGCCGGGCCGGGACACGGTGGTGTAGAAATACCGCAGCGAGTGTGAGCCTGAGGGCTGTGTGCTTTGAGACCCCGATCTCCTCCCAGGACCCTGAGCAGGTGCGCGGGCCTGGAGGGGAGCGGGGCGCAGGGCTGGGGAAGTGGGTGGGGAAGGAGCAGGAGGATCTGGCTGGGCAATGTGGGGACACGGCTTCCCCGGTGCCACCCCTGACCTCCCCCCAGAGGCCATTTCCCTCTAGACTCAGCACTCACCTGCTCGGGTCTGTATTGGGGCCAGGGTGGCTGCCAGCAGCAAGGGGGAGCAGAGCACATGTATCCCCATCTTCAGGGTTAGGGGGAGACAAAAAAAGTCTTGTATGGTCATAGACTTTGTAATTTGTCTTCAAAGAGACTTCTAATCCTGTTCTCCAGGAACCTATTCTCATGGTTGTGACATTGCTGTCTCTCTGGGAGTCAACCTGACAGCCACTGACAGAGTAAGAAGTGAAACCCAAAGCCCACCCTTCCCAACCAGAACCCCACCTTCACTCCTGGGAGAGATCATGGGAATACAGGACCTCTTGTAAATATTGCCAGCTGCGGAAGGTCCTAAATACGGACAGCATAATAAAAGCCATCTTTATATTCCTACTGTATTCTTAGAGACTAACACAGTTAAGTTTCTATTTCTCTGTGCCTGCTTATCTTCCTGTACAGCATACCTTCAAGGCCTGCAGTTCAGGCTCTCCCAGTCACAGACTTGTGCCCTAGGAACATAGCCTACCAAGACCAAGCTCCCTGCTTCAAAGCAATAGCCTCTCCCACCTAACGCCCCTGCTCTGCCAAGCTTCCTGCTTCAACTCCTCCTCCCACCTGGAACCATGAGGCTGTGTCCTCTCCAGTCCAATATGACTGCTTCAACAGAGACCAGGGTTTCTGGCTTCCCTGCCAGTGCTGCACCAGTGACATCTCAGCTCCCAGTGAGTCACAGCTAACTGGGCCACCTGCTGCTGCTGCTGTTTATGTGAGCAGGCAGCATAGTTTTCATTTCTTGATGGCTTTTTGGTAGAGGATGCAAGCAGGGATCTTGATCCAAGGCTTGAAGGTTTAAGTGTCAGATGGTGGGACATGCCATGCTGGTCCCCTTCTTGTCCCCTGCCCAGCCTGTCCGCAGCCCTAGTAGCCAAGCCTGCACTCTTGGAGCCACCAGGATCAAAGCTTCAGATTCAGGTTCTGGTGGGAAGGATCAGGATCTTTGTAGTGAGCTGCAGATGTTTCACAGCTACAGCGCTACCATACTTCACAACGATCCGAGGCTAAGGATGAAAATAAAGACAAAGACAGCGGCTCATTCTTACAAGGAAAATAGCATTTATTATTACAAGAGTGGAGCCTTATATAACAAAGGCAGGTATGGTGGAAAAACACCAAGGTCAGAAGCATATGTTCCCAGGGCCCTCCTGCAAAGGGGTGGGCCAAAAACAGGAATTAGCATTTAGACAATAAACAGGAACTTGCTTGCAGGCCTTACTGGGAGGAGGGGATGAGAAATGTTTTGCTAAAAGCTGCTAGTAACAAGCAGTCAACAGACACCCGTGGGGGAACGGTGCAACAGATCCTGGAAATGTGAATTGCCACAGCTAAGGCCAAAACCTCAGGCAGCCTCTGGAGCCCAATGGCAGTTTCTGGGGCTGCCCTGCACCTCCTTCACCTCCTGGCACCTTGTCTGCGCCAAGGCACCTGCTGTGGGTTTCACTGCATAGGTGTTGTCTGGGGAAACTGGATTTGGTGGCTCCATTGGAGGCCAGCAAGACCTTTGACAGGCTCCATTTAAATACGGAAGGAAACACTGAAGTTGTGCTGTTTTTATGGACTGTCCTATGATGGTTCCAGATGTGTACATGATTAATAGGAATGAATACATCTCCTCAAAGGTGTGTTTTTGCCTGTGGTGAAAACATTTAGGATCTTGCCTTGCAGTTGTCTGAAAGCCATAGCTTGTTGGGGCTTTCTAGTCACCACACCTCACAGCTGCCCCTTACTTCCTCACCCCTACCTTCCTACCTAACTGTAGCCACTTCTCACCCACTCTGGCTCCATTGTCTCTTTCCAGTCTGTGGTTGGTCCAGAGGATCTGCAGTGCTCAAGTCCCTCCCCATCAGGACCCTTAAGGGTGTCAAGATGTGGCACCATCGGCAATACTTCCTGGCATTGCAGTGGCTTTGCTGTTTTATTTTGTTTGTTTGCTTGTTTGTTTCTGTTTTGAGACAGGATATCCTTATGTAGCTCTGGCTGTGTCCTGGAAACTATGACCAAACTGCCCCAAAAATTAGAGGCTCACCGGTTTCTGCCTCCCAAGTGTTGGGGTTAAAGATGTGCAATGGTTGTTCTTACGGCTTTCCTCTCAGAGCAGTAGGAGGAACCTCCTTTCCCATCCACCCAGGGCAGTGTCTCTGGATCCCCAGCCCTAATCTGGTACAACCTGGAACCCCAAGGAGGCAGGCCACCAGCACCATCTGAATAAGAACAGGCCTAGTCCTTCACAGGATGACCTGTCACAGCTGCCCTGTCTGCTGCTAATCCGCTGTCAGCATGTGGGTCCATTGAGTGAAGAGAAGACCAAAGCCAGGAGGAGGCAGAGACGAGGAGAGACCACATCAAAGCCCACAACACACTCAGCACCAGCTGTGCACAGCCCTGCTCACACTCAGTTGCCTCTGCTTCATCCTGTCTCACAGAACACACAGCACAGAGAACATGGATTCCAGAAGGTTCTCCATGCTGCCATTCATTTCCTACACAAAACTGTAAGAAATCACCTGTTTAATTTACCCACCAATCAAACCTCAGGTGAAGAATTTGAACCATCAAGTTCACATTCAGATTCATATTTTCAGTGGGGAAGTCATGAGCTGCATCTCAGAGCATCACGTAGGTGACAGGATGGAGATGTCCCCTCCAGTTTACTGAATAAGGAAGGGTGGTTGTGGAATGGAACACGGGGTAGTGTAGTGGCAGGGACCTAGTGTGCAGTAGTTGAATGGGCTTCCCAGTACTTTACATTGAGCCCCTAAGATAGCAGGGAATATCAGACACTGCTGGCTAAAGAGAACTGAAAGTCTCTGAACATCACAGCCGAGGCCTGAACAATGGGTCTGTCAGTCTGCCTATATCAGGCAGCTGTCTTCACACTACAGAACAAGTGTCAAGAACAATCACTGTGAAGACAACATCCCAACAACCCATCACTCACTCACAGGTCCAAATTCTCAGTGTCCCTGTGAACCATTCATGTCCCCATTGTCCCATGCCCATTTCATCTTCTGCATGTCTTCTTTACAGCTCTGGGCTGTGTTTGTTCAGGGACAATAACAATACACACTCAGAGCTTAAGGAGGATTTGTCTGCAAAGGAATTATAGGCTGGCACAATTCCCCACCAACTCCTGCTCCAACCAAAGACCTCAGAGACATGCCTTCCCTATACTTGCCTGGATCCTGAGCATAGAGTCCGGTGATTCCACCTGTGAGAAATAAAGCCCTGAGAGCAGGGAAGCTCTGGATCCAGGAAGTTTCCAACTGACAGCAGACCAGGGAAGACCAGGGGAGAGTCAGGAGACAGAAGAAAGGTGTATGCTGGGATTGAACCATTTTCCAGCCTGTGAGTCCTCAGCAGGGACTTTCCTCTCTGACTTCTGACCTCTGACCACTCAGGATCATATCCCCATCACCTCCACCATCAGGGCTATGAGTCTGTCCTTTCTTTTCCCTGTACAGTAAGGTGATTGTCAGCACACAGCCCCAGAGATGTTTGTGTGTGTGTGTGTGTGTGCACCCTTCTTGAAAGTGCTGAATGAGAATACAAACAAAACAAAACAAAGCACAACAGACATGCAGCCCCTGCCCTTCATACCTGTGCTCTTTCTCATCCACATCACATCACGTCCAAAGATAAAACCTAAGATCCCAGCTCCAAGGACGGCACCAACAATGGTCAAGATGGCAGTGATGGGCCGGGCGTTGGTGGCGCATGCCTTTAATCCCAGCACTCGGGAGGCAGAGGCAGGTGGATCTCTGTGAGTTCGAGACCAGCCTGCACTACCAAGTGAGTCCCAGGACAGCCTCCAAAGCCACAGAGAAACCCTGTCTCGAAAAACCAAAAAAAAAAAAAAAAAAAAAGATGGTGGTGATGGACTGAGGAGGCTCTTGGAAAAGAGATGAGAAAGGTCTGGGCCAATCATTACTCAGCTCTCTGCCTCACCCTACCTTCTGCAAAAGCCCTTATGCTTTTCTTCACCCCAGGTCTGCACCCACTCTCTCCTTACCCCATCTCAGGGTGAGGGGCTCAGGCAGCCCCTCATGCTCCACATGGCATGTGTAATCCTGCTCCTCTCCAATAGGCACCTTCACAGCTGCCCACTTCTGGAAGCTTCCATCCTCTGCAGGTCAGGTCTCCACCATCTCCATGTCCTGTATCCGTGCCCCCTCATCCATCCTCGAGGTCACAATGATGCCAGGAGTGTAGAAGTCCAGGGCCCAGCACCTCAGGGTGATGTCACCTTCAGGTCTGTGTTGATGGGTCCCATGTATCTCTGGGGGGTCTGAGGAGAAGAGTTGGAGAGTTCGGGCATTTTCCATTCTTCCTGGAGACTGCTGCAGTGTCCATGAGACCATCCTGGGAGAGGTCAGAAATGGGGTGATGGAGGGGTGAAAATCACCAGTGTATTTCACAGCATCCTGGATAGTCTCTTTATTATGAAGTTCTAGAATCTGCGTGAAACAGTCCAGTGTAGGAGACTCTAGGAGTCCCAACATGAGATAGGGACTCCTGCTCCTGACTTGGGGGGGCACTAATAGATTCAGGATCACTGAAGCCAGACTCCCATGACTGAGTGTGTGCAGAAAACTGGATCTGAGAGAGACCATGGTGCACAGTGGGTGGCAGAATGAATGAAGTGGGCTTTTCTCCTTCCCATTAAGACAGATTCTGAATTGTCCTGAGAGGAGTCAGTCTCTACTCAGAAATCCCATGTGTGGCTGAGCAATTTGTCTTTACATCAGCTGAGGCAGGAAGATCTCTTCATTTGAGCCCATGCTGGTCTACATAGAGAGTTACAGGACATCCAGTACTATACAGAGGGACACCAGCAAAAGTAACACAAAAGAAACAAAGACAATGCAAAAAAGAAATCGAGGAATGCTTTCCCTGTGTCCAGTGAAAGATGAGGCAACATTGTATACAGTGGAGAAAAACAATGTTTCTTCTACAACCTGGAATGAGATGAGGGTTTCCATTCTCTGCTCCATCTGAGACTAAGTGTGTGAAGACTCAGCTATAACAATCAGATAAGAGAAAGCATAAAAAGGAACAAACTAGGAAAGGAAGAAATCAAACTATCCCTATCTCTAGACAACGTGATTCTTTTCTTATATTCCCGGGCTTAGTGTACTGTAAAACTCTTGGTTGTAATGAACCCTTATGTTTGCCAGATTAAAAAAAATCAATATAAAAGCGTAGCTTTCCTTTATGTCAGCAGTGTACTTTCTGAAAAGGAAGTCAGGAAATGTACAATATTCAAAGTAATTCCTTAAGTGTTTAAGGATACATACGGCCAAAAAAAACAAAACCAAAACCAAAACCAAAAACAAAAACAAAAACAAAAAAGCCCAGAAGAACTATACAATGAAAAATTCAAGATCTGACCCAGGAAATCTTAGAGACAATGTCAGAAGATGGAAAGACAATCCAAGCTCCTGGACTGGCAGAGTTGACACTGTGACAATGTCTACACTACCCATGTTAATCTACAGATTTAATGTAACACTGTCAAAATTCTGATGTGTTTCACATTTAGAAGAAATACAAGAAATCATATGGAATCACAAAAGAGCACATATATTCAAACAAGCTGAAGGAGTAAGAACACTGCTGGAGGTTTTACACTCCTAACCTCAAACTATACTGCAGAGTTACAGTGACAAGACAGCCTGTATGTTTCTAGTGGGCATTCCCTCCTCCATGACCTTGGGTTATCTGGGGATAGAGTTGCACTGTCTCTGTGGTGGTTCGAGATTAGCCTGCTAGATCCATTCAGAGCAGAAGACCCTGAGAGCTAGCTACCATGTTGTGTTTTGTGAGTGCATTCTAATAAATCCCAATTATCCTCTTAAATGAGCTCTTAAGGATTTGCCTACATTTGGTGACTCCATGGCTTCAGGCTCCAGTCTCCACAGGTGTTGGGCAAGTTTCTCATTACCCCTGAACCCCAAGCATTCCCAGCTCAGATCCCTGGGAGGCAGGATCCCCTGT